CGGTCGGTGTTGTTTCAGCGGTCTGGATTAACACTCTTCTCCTCCTATAGCACACCATAAACAGATTAGTGGTCTCCAAGTCAGGGCACGGCTGGGCCATCTGTACCCTGCACTGGGTGGGGATGGGGACATGGGGGTGGAGTGTGAGCAGATGTTGCAGAGGGGCTGTAGGTCAGTAGGGCCGAGGGACCGTCAGTCACGAAGGACGCAGAGTTCCTGTTCAGGTGACGGATTTAAAGTGAGTTTAAACCGCCGTGCATTGTCATGGCTCTGGGATGCTGCATCGCCCTCACACCCCAAGGTACTGTATAATTTACTGAGGCTTTAATTGAGCTGCATGCACCTCCCACTTCGCTCCTGCTCTGCATGTCAACCACAGCGGTTTCACACTTTGTCACAAGATGTAAGACGCGATGATGAAGAGTTTGTTTTTCACGGTTAGTTTGAACCGTGTTAAAAACCCAAACGCTCCCCACACACTACACTTGTCCTGCAGCGTGAGTAACCCCAAAGAAAAAAAGGAATCAAAGATTCACACACGTAAATTACACACAACTGAAACACCAATGTGCAAGCTCATCTGTCTGCCTGTTGCATGTACAGAAGTTCAGATTTAAAGTTTTTCTAAAGTTCTACGTGTGACCTAATGGCTGAGACCTGCGGCTCTGTCCTCCCAGGCCGCTGGCAAATTGTAGGTGTGTGAGCGTAGGTGTGAGGCGGTTTTTGACTTGGCTCCTGTCTGAGCCAAACTGAGAAAATTACAAGGCAGAGGCAGTCTGGGGATGCATGCAGGCTTTCATTGCCCCTCTTCTCCTGGCCTGCAGGGCTGAGTGCAGTGGGGGATGATCCTGCAGCAAATGAAGAGGTGGAGATGAGATTGATAGGCAGTGTCACAGTGCACATAATAGAGTGTGATTTCACCTCGCCAGGAAAGTTAACAGAAAGATGCCACAAGCAACGACGCAAATATACAGAAATGCTCCTCAAAATCTTTTTTTTCCTCTTCTTCTTCTTCTCACCGGAGGCCATGTGGCTCATTTGGCTCAATATAGCCATGCTGCAAATCAATCAGCCCGATGTGAAACAAAGAGAAAGCTGCCAAGAGGTCAATGAGATGACTGCAGCCTGATGTGTTTTCTTAGGCCTCACTGGGGGCAACAGCTGACCACTAAATTAGCACTAAAAGCTTTGCCCATATGGACTTCTGTGTCCATGAAAACCTCTCTTAAAGGCCTCTAATGAACTCGTGCTCTGGCGCACAAACACAGCCTCACTTAACCAAGATTTCAGCGAGCAAGGTCAAAGGAAGTACTGATGTGTTTTTTAGCTGGAGGACGATACAAACGGGGAAGGTTGAATGGAGTCAGATGATGAGAGCACAGTGTTTGTCCTAGTTGTGGCTGCTATTGTTGTCAAATGGGTTTTTAGTGTGTTGTGAGACACTGAGGGTGTCACAGCAAGGCCAACAGTTCACAGCTCAGTGGGGAAGCACTGAGTGGAGAGGCTGACAAACAGTGTCAGAGGGCTCCTCATTTCACCATAAGTTACACAACAAAAGCATCATATGCTCCACGTCTGAAATATTATGGGCGTTCGCTCGGTTATATATTACTGCACCGATATTAAATCTGTGGCAAGTCCAATAAATAAATATAATAAATGCAGATATATCCATACAGGTCCTACAGGGGTTTTCCTGCATTAAAAAAAAATTGGCAACTAACAAAGGTGACTGTTTCATGTTTTATATTTTAAACCTGGCTGTTTATTTACAACACGCATGCAAAGTCATATATGGCAGCAGGTAGGAAACATCTGGCGGGCGTAAAACAATTTCATTGAGATTCGAGTGAAACGGTGCTTCCACACCGGTGTAAATCTTTGCTGAGTTCACCTCCAGCTTCTCCAGCTGTGCAGGAGACGCAACACAGAGCGTGTTTTTAGTTCAGCAAGGTCACACAGCAGAGGGCTTTTAGATCACCCTGGAAAACGTCAGGTTGTGTCGGCGTAGCTGATAAACACGTCGCGTCTCCTGGGGATTTCGCAGTGTTCCTTAGAAAGGACCTGCCAGAGGATTCACAGCAGTGATAGTGATGTTAGAAAAGCACTTAGCATATGCAGGTTGGATACACAGGCTGAGGTTTAGTGTCGGGCTGCTGCGCTGGGTCTTCCTGATCTTTAGTAGCTCCAGTCAGGAGTTGGACCGTGTCCTTTTCTGTGTGAACGAGGCTAAAGTTAACTTCTGGCTGCAACACAAAGCAAACTGCGAGCCAGAGCTGCCTCTCATCAGACACAGAGGTCAGACAGAGTGCGATTCGGCAAAGCTGCCCGGTCAAGGACAGGCCCAGAAATGTCAGGCAGGTAAGAGAAGACTGACAGATCTGTCTTTGTGTGCTATCAAAGCAAAAGCTCAGCAGTTAATCCTCAGGATTTTACTTGGATTTCGCTACAGATGTCTGAGATAC